ACTAGCCTAACGATGCAAATGTCGCTAACCAACGCACAGCGAATTAGCGAAGGAAATAAGACGCGAAATGGAATTGTCAGGATCCTACTACGAACAGCCAAAAGAACGTCTCCTGAGGAGGGTGGATTACTACAGCTTTCGCGTGATCAGAGTACAGTCATTGAGAATACTCGGCGGGTTCGTAGAACGCAAGTTGCAAGCATGTATGTATAGATCGCATGATCAATCTCTCGGCGCGTCTCTTATCTTCGTCGCGGGCATATCGAGGACCTTTCCATGAACTTCGGTTCCGTGTCTGTACAGAAAGCAGGGGTCGTCCAATTTGGCAGTTTTGTTTGCTACGTTTCGCTTTCGTTTCAACCCCCCTGATACGTAATTTCACGTGAAACTCAACTATGAACCGTGAAAGAACTATTCTTGCCTCGTTCGTTCTGTCTGATAAGCGTGCAAATTCGAAAAAAAAAAAGTAAACTTCCTTTCGTACGACAAAAAAGAAAAAGAAAAAACACCTTGAGAATCCTGATTAACGTTCAACGTTTGTGACCATCGTTAACCGTAAAATGCGCGACTTTTCGGAATATTCTACGATTCTCTCTCTGTGTTCTCCCCTTTTTAACTTTATACAAGTACCTTTGTTTTTTCATTTGTGCATAGTGCAACAATCGCGTGCACCACTGTGCGTGTGCTCTCTTATCAATCGACCAATCCTATACGAACTGTACGTCGCGTTTTTACCAGTGAAAATGTTGGACACCCCTGTCTCGAGTTTCATTTATTTGTTGTTTTCTCTTTGTTATTTATTTGGCAGTTACTTTAAGACCGTATCAGTTCTACGAAATACCCTTATAGTGGAGCGATAATGTTCGACCGTAACGTCCGCACACAAAGCGATTAATAGTTATCGTTTATTAGTATTATCATTATTAACTATTATTATTATTATTCATTTTTCTTATCAACATATGTATATCATATTATTAACAATATTATTATTGTTATCATTACGATTATTATCGTTACCATTACCATCACCATTATCATCATAATATTATCATTATCACGATTATTACCATTATCATTACCATTATCGATACCATGATTGTTATTATTATTATTATTACTATTATTGTTGTTGTCCTTCTTTGTCTCTCGTCTCGCGTTTTGTTTACTATTGTTTACTGAAAGGCCGCGACAACGCTCTCTCGAGGAATTTGTGTGTACAGCACCGCTTCTCGAAATTCCCTTATATTTTTTCTTTCTTTCAACAGCCCCGAATGAATCGTTTATTATCCTCGCTAGCGAAGGCGAGGGCGCGCGTAATTAAAATTACGGACCGTTGCAGCACGAACACCGAGCGTCTCGATCGTCTCCATCCTTAGATAGATAGATGTGTGTGAGTGTTGTGTGTGTATATATATATATATATAGAGAGAGAGAGATGGGGTTGTGTGTGGAGAGAGAAAGCAACAGCGACGACGACGACGACGACGGCGGCGGCGGCGGCGGCGGTCGATTGGTTTAAACAAAGAAGAAAGTTTTAGCCGAAGAAAGTGAACGCACAACGTGGCCGTGTATTGTCAACAGTGTAGAATATGTCGAGGCGGCTCTCTTCTTCACCCTTTTTTTTTTTTTTTTGTGTCCGCGACGCGACGCGTCAACAATACTCCCCCTTCTTCCTCTTCGAACGTCGCTTATGTCTTCCTAAAGCCGTACACGTCCTTCCGGTTCTTCCCATGCAAAGGAACACGACGATACTACTCGCCTAACCTAACCATCTCGAAAAATTTGCTCAGCCAACTTTAGAAAACCGAACGAACGAGGACCCTTCCGGTGACTCTTCTTCTTCTTCTTCTTCTTCGACCTTCGTCCTCCTATTTTCCTTGGACTCTTCTCGCTCGTGGTTTCCCCCCTCTCTTCTCTTCGTTTCTTCTTCTCGTGGCGTAGTAACATCGTTGCGAGCGAATCTTCACGGTTGAACACACACACGCGCGCACGTATTCTCCGCGCGTGCAAAATCCTCCATGAGAGTTCTCTTCGAGCGGTGAAGAAAACGGGGGAGAACAGAGGACGAGGGGAAATCCCCGCCCGGAAGAAACGAGGCGCGAAGAAACGAGGTCCGTCTCCATTTCGCGGTTTTTTTCGTTCACTTGGTCGATCCCTCCCTCGTGGCAGCCTCTCCTTTTCTTGAGATCCACGTGTCGTCGTTTCTGTTAGACAGAGAGAGGAAGAGAGAGATGTGAGTGTGGGGTTTTAACCTGTTACGATTTTGTTCTCGTTGATTTTTGAGGTTAGGGGGTGTTCTGGTCTCGAGTCGCCATCTTTTAAGCAATCTTTAGGATTTTTTTTTTCGAAGAACTATTGAACTGTTTGAAGTAGGGTTTTGCACATACATTTGTGGGTATTTGAAATATGTAATGCATTTTGTTGAAGTGAAAACAATGAAAATTACAGGAGTTATAGGTTGTTTTATAGAGTGTGCTTTGCAAGAAGTGTGTTGACTGTTTATAGGATTCCGAGCCTTCTGCTGATCCAAAAGTAAAAGCGAGGAAGAATCTTGATTGGTATAAATCTGGCTAATTTCTGAACGAGAATGAAATAAAAATATCGATTATTTACAAAATATTTTGAAATTTAGATTATCGCTTTTTTTTCATATTTTCCCGTCTTTAGCGTGTTCAAAGAATAAGAAAAAAACGAGGGATGTTGATAATTTTGGTTCACACGATAACAGGACGACGTGTGCTGAGGATTCTCGACAAATTTCAAGTCGATTGATAAACTGGATCTCGAGATATCGCGTAAACCGTTTCGAAAAACGAGGTTTCGAGAAAAACGCGTTTGAAGATTCGTCTATCCATTTCGTTACGGTACGACTACGTCCTTCAAACGCCTACATCTAAATTCATTTCAGGAATTCAAATAAATCTTTTTGCACACACGTTCTAGAATACTTGTACTTTAAGAATATGCAAAAAAAAAAGAATTGATTTTTTGAAAGTTCAAAACCAGAATACCCCTTTAAGTGATTTTTTGAATAATTGCTTTCGAGCAAATGACAATTGGAGAGATTCTTTAATTTAGTTAATTTACGATTAGCAGGGTTTGGTCGTTTCTGTCTAATTTGAAATTAAACGCGTTTAACCTTCGAAAGACGATCCCCGGGTCATCGGTGACCCAATTTTTAGGTTAGGTTAATATTTGTACAATTGTGAACAGTATAGCGCTTAGTAAAGTAAAAAACATGTAGTTTCGCTTGCGTACGAAAGAGATTTTAGTGTTGGGTCATATTTGAAATGAAAATTTAAACGATATATACAGAATAAAAACGGAAAGGACGAATAACTTGGAAGTTGTAAACAGCCATTGTCGAAGTTGTATCAATTTCTACGAATCACCAACGAAAGAAACACATTTACTCTCTCCATTAGCGACAACTATTACGTACAAAATTCGTGGCAGAGTTTTGAAAATGCAATTCCACTCGGTTCACCGTTTTCACATGCGCCGTCTGTTATTCCGCGAAAATTGTACACCAATCCGGGGAAATTATCAACGTGACAATGAACGAGTTAAGCTTGTTGTGCAAAGCGAATTAACATTTCATTACGGTAGGAAATTTTGTTTTCCGCGTGTCTCCCGTCCCGTGTGCGACGAGTGACGTTACAGGACACTCGAATGTAACAATCGCGAGTGCCGTTGTTCGCCAAAAATTGATAGATAGCGATGCACCCCTCTGTCGCGAACGTTTCGGAACGATAAAAGTTGAAATACATCGGTCACCGTAGAAAAACAGAAAAAAAAAAGAATAAATAATAACTTTGAAAAATAAAGACATTTCTTTTGATAAATGGTCGAGCAAAGAATATGTTGTATTTTTGGAAATGGAATAGAATTTTATTGCTTTTCGGCCTCGGAGCTGGGAAAAAGGTCTTGTTTTGTAGTATTCGTACAAATGTATGGGTACGTGTAAATGTTTCATTTGGAAAAGCTGAGTTAGTTTGAATTTCGAAGTTACGATTTGGCGTTTCGATAAAGAAAGAGAATTTCTTCTTTTCAGTGCGCTATGTTATGGCAAATTTTTCATTGTGAAATTATTGCCCAATAAAAAAAGGATGTAAAAGTTTGAGTGGTATATTTTCCATTCTTTAAAGGATGATTTTTACATTAAAAAGTGATAAATGAATTTACGAACAGAGTGATTTGCGAATGAAATTAGTTCGAATTGTGATTATATGATAAAACGATCCTGAAAATATGTTTGATTACTAGGATAACGTTTAACACGTTCCGTGCCGGACCGATTTTTGGTTACTTTTCGTTCAGGCCGCGTCGGGCGTAGACTGACAGTTTTACTTTTCACCCTATACGTCTTCCGATATTTATAAGATTGAAAAAATCATGGTTATCAAGGAAAAGGTAACGTTTAAGACGCACTATAGAGCGAAGGAAAAATTTTTGTTTTAACAAATTATCGCCGTAGTTGCATAGTTTAAGTGAACGGAAGGAAAAGGCGGAAATATGAAACGTCCTGAACGGAAAGTTCAGCGTGGAGCGTATACGGAACGTGTTAAGTATAGTACATTTGATCGACTAATGTTGCAAATTGCAATTTCAAAATTTCTTCATTATCCCTTGGCAAAATATTTCATATTTTCACTTTTCAATAAAAATTAATTACTCGAAGGGCTTCTTTGTGAAAATAATTACTGTACACAAATTACCACGTGAAAATCACTTCTCGTTTATAAATGTCGCGGTATATTAAGTGACACGAATGAAACAGAGTAAATTTGTATTTACATGGGAGAATGATAAACTGGTAAGTGAGAAATTTAGTATTTGTGCGAGTGTATCGAGAATTAAAAAGGTTCTTTTAAATTGCAATTTCTATTTTTTGAATTTTTCAGATAAATATTGAAAATATTGCTGGAATTGGAAAAAGGATGTTACCTTTGGCATTTTTTGTGCATTTTATCGGTGACTTGACCGGGGCAGTCTATTTAGTGGACGATTATGTGTGGCGCACGATACAATATGACTATCGTGGCCAAAACCGTGAACAACGTGAAGATGAACAAGCACAGCCTGTAATTAATATAAACAAATTTACATTTAGTGATATTCTAGTTCAACATTCCACTCGTGATATATCAGTAAATCTTTCTCAAATTAAAAAGATCAAAGTAATCCATGCGAAATACTTTACTGTCAAATATATTATAGTATACAACGCTATTATTTAATAAAAAATTCTAAATAC